TGCCGTACAATACATATAACTCAAATAACATTAAACTGCATAAATCAATCTTACTCATGCTATATGTCATAACTTAGGTTAAATTGGGCAGTTGTTACCAACTTACCACTACAACTAATACTTTAGCATAGTAAATTTAAATACCTAATACTGTAACTTGTTTACACCAAAGGATCAAGAACAAGCAGTTAGAACAAAGGAATATACAAGGCAGTTGTATCCTTGTTAAACTTCACCTTACTTAGGCTGTATTTATATAACAAGAGACTTTCAATGCATTAAAGGCAGTAATTAATACACTAAGTAACTAATCTTATAACACTATAAATATAAAAGGTAAAATAAAACATACCATAAATGTACTTGAATCACATAATAAGTGAGTGGTCAAACACACGTCTGATCCCGATCACATTCAGGAGGCCACTGATTCGCGCTAATTTTTTAGACGCTACTGACCCACGCTATCATTATGTAATGAGTGACGACATACAAATTTCTGCCCCCTATAATGGGTTAAGAAACCTTTTACACTGTTAATCATATATAGTAATAACAATTATACTGTACATACATATCAGATTCAGATAATTTATTGTCAAAGTGTACATGAAAATCTATAAATTTATTAGGTTGTATACAGATTAAAATTCATGATGAATGCAAAAAAAAAGCCAAACTTAACTACCTAAATCATATACAGTATATTCCTTTTTATGATGATGAAATAATAAAATGCTTACAAAGCTCGTTTTAAATATATCCCTGTCCCACTACTTTGAATCATATTATTTACGCAGATTCAAGTTTATAAGAAAAATTTAATATATACCAAAATAATCATCTTATTCATTTAATGGATGAATGCCCATAGGTGTATTTATAATATACACTCTGTTGTGTGCTTGTTAGGTTTTTTTTATACAGAAAAACCAGAAAAAATATACAGGTACTAAAGTAAGAATAAACAAACTTGCAAATATCAAAATTTATGAAAATCAAAGAAATACAAGTTGATAGCAGGGGCGTACCATGGGGGGGTTGATGGGTGCGGTCGACCCCCACTTCTAAAGAAAGTGCCCTTTAAATATGCTCGCTTCACTCACAAATAACGCACCCCGCGAATTCTGAAAGCTTCACTAAATTGCTCCGAGTTCAGCTTTCCCCCTGCGCTTTCGTTTCGACCTCCCCCCCCTTAGATTTTTCACCGTACGCCCCTGGATAGGCTGTACAAAAAAGCCCTAATAGATTGAAAAGTAACATTTTTAACATCAATATGCAAGAAAGTAACATGTATATGCATTATATGATTAAAAACTTACACTACAAAAATATAAAATCATAAGATCAATAGTGTGTGATTCAAATTTGATAAGAACTACACTATAAACAGTTGAGGTTGGCAGATTACAGTATTAATGTCTTCAGTTTAATTACTTCAACTCTAAAGATATCATTTATGTAGAATAATTAATATTTTAACAGTTTAAAAAAAAAACCCACAACTTCAGCTCTATGTATATCATATTCAATAATGAAATATTTTAACAAGTTTATAAACATTATGCCAACTTTATATTTCGATATTATTGTATTCAATAATTAATTATTAAGTTTAAGATTCATAACTTAACTCTATGTGGATGATATGAAATAATGGATATGTAGATATTCCTACACTTATAAATTTGAATTGTTGAAAACACACAAGTGAAGCAAATGGACTGTCAATATTCAATAATTGAATATTTTGACTGTTTTGTCACCAGTATTTGCTACTGCAAGTCTCCTTGGATGATATGAAATGATGGATAATCCCTCTGGATTGTTGATTCCATCTTCTGGTTTATCAATTCTTTTTATGAAAGTTCCATCACTACTGAATAGCTGTAGTTTGTGTTGACTTGATATAATGATGTTGTCATCCTCATCAACTACTACTGCTTTTGGATAATTTACTTTACCATCCTCATCACCTTCTTCAACAAGGACTTTTATGAACCTTCCCTCATTATTAAATAATTGTAATCTACTGTTTATGTACGCCAATACAAGAAGGTGTCCTTGGTTAGTAAGAGTAACATCAATGACATATCTCATTTGACCTTCTTTTGTACCTTCTGACCCTATTGTTTTGATGGTCTTGCCATTATTCATGTCAAACATGTACACACAGCTACTGAACCAATCAACTGCTGCATACAAAACATTTGATGTCTCATCCACATGAATGCTCCGTGGTGTATTCTTTGCTCCCTCACTAATTGTTTTAATCAGCTGACCATTCATATTGCATATTCTGATAGGTTTACCATTGTAATCACTGAATGCTATGTTACCATTCTTCATTTTGTACATTCTGTAAACTTGCACACCTTGTGGTAGTGTAACCTTACCAATATATTCTCCTGATTGCTTGTACTTGAGCATTTCATTTGTCAGACATGAAACCAGTAAGGAGTCATCTTCACACTTAACTACATCTCTAATACTTGTTGCATTTATTTGAATAGTATTTACTAATCTTCCCTCTTCTACTTTGATTGTCAGTGGTGATTGGTGAACTGGTTCATCATCAGCACTCACATCTAGTTTAGAAACTCCTGGACTTGTGCATTTTCCTGTTACAAAATAATCTCCATTGTCATCTTCCTGAATTTGAGAGATTTTGGTTTCCCCTGTAGGCTGTGTCCATGTTGCCTTCAGTTGATTTGCATTTATTTCATGTTCATCTGTTTTGATTATTTTGATAATAATTGTCTGATCTGTGATCACAGATTCCTCTCCTTCTAATGTTAAACAGTCTGCTGCACTAAAATCTTTTACAGTCCCTATAGCACATTGTCTCAATGAAGTCATTTGCTGTTTGTTTATGAAGTAGTAAATTTCTCCATTATCATCTGGCTCTGTTTTTGGTAATTCATTGATTTTTTCCCTGAGTGCTGTAACTACTGTTTCACTTGACTGCATTGCAGTGCCTTCATCACTCTTCAATAATTGATTAAGAAAAGACAGTTTTGTTTTTATATCGGATAATATTGCTTTAAATTCATCCATTTGTACATCATTTACCTTCTTTTTCCTTTTGTAGATTGTCTCTACTTCATTTTTCATTTTGTCTCTATTCTCTTTTTTTTGAATATTTCTTCTGCATGATTGTCTATATCTATTAAACATGTGTCTTTATTTTGTTGTAATTTTGTAGCATTGAGAATAACAGCTTTGAGACCACCTTCTAATTTGTTTATGAATTGTTGGGCAAATTTTTCCAAGGTGGATGAAGTTTTTTTAAATGTTTGGAATGCGTCTGAAATGTTGATAGGTTTGTGTTTTCCTTCCCATTCCTTGTGGTCCATAATTGTACAGTTCACACAGATTGGAGTTTTACAACCTGTGCAGTAGAACTCCAAAGGTTTACTGTGATGTGAACACAGAGGTGGATGTAACAAAGTCATCTGAGAGGGGCTCATTGATTGCACATCCTCCATTAAATGTAACTTGTGATTCGCCATGGCTTTAAACTTCTTATGTTGATCACTACAAGTAGAGCACAAGTACTGTCTGCAATCCTGGCAGTAGTATTTTACTTGTCTTTTCTTTTCACAAACACTACATTTCATGTGACCACTCTCTGAAAATAGTTCGATAGTTTCTAATAAGTTATTTAGAAAGGTATTTGGTGGAAGCTTCTCAAGCCCTCTTTTTGGAATTGGATATGATTTTGAGCAAGTTGGGCAAGTCAGCTGACCCTTCTCCTTAACCCAATCTTCCAGGCATGCCAAACAGAAACTATGGAGGCAGTTGAGGGATTTTGGATTTTGAAGTCTCTTAAAGCAGATGGTACACTCTAAGACCTTCTCATCAACATGTTCCAGAAACTGATTCAACTTACTGGTAGCCATCTTTAATTGATATCCTGTGAAATTTAAATAATAGGTAATATAATTATTATCATTTGAACTGGATAAATAATAATGTCATGCAATTATAGTCTGATGACCCTATAGAAAATAATGGCTTCTATCTCCTATTTCGTATAGGGTCTGAAATAACTTGACAATAATTGCTTTATAGTCAGTTAGATATAAATGTATGCTACTGTATATATAATCAAACCACTGGTCATGGCCCCCTCTAAGTCCGCCCCTTAACAGGACATTTTCCCATAGTCTGTACCACCTGGCCATTGGCTTTCTAGCCTTGATAGTGTGTAGCCAAGCATGAAACTTGAAATAAATGGCATGATGGTACATTGTTTAGTGTTGCTGCTAACAAATTTTTTTCCTAAAAAGTTACCTTTGATGATTTATATTTAGTTTAAAAGTTGTTACTGCTCTCTTTTTTTTAGGGGTATTCACGGGGGTTGCTCCAAGATTTGCCTGACAGGATGTCTGAGGTCCCCAAAGCATAAGGTGGACATGGCCCTTAGATTCTTTTTCCCAACAAGCTGTAAGATTTTGCTGTCAAGAGCAAAATAGGAGTGGTTGAGTGTTTCTTAAAATGTTCCGAAAGAGGTCCAGGGGGTGAAGCCCCCAAAAAATTTTACAATTTATTGGTTTCAATTTTAGAGTTTACTAATATGTGCAAAGTACATATTCATTTTTTTCTTTCTGGCAAATTGTGTTTTTCTTCTTGAAGGGAGCCCTGGCCGCATTATCTTTTTTCCCCATACAGTTCAGGTAGAAATTATATAGGGCACATTTAGGTGAACTAATAACATGAATAATGCATGTATGCTTGACACTAATCGCCAGTCGCGAAAGTGGTGTGGTGTTTACTGCTTGTGGAATATGAAAGCTACGGTGTAGTTAGGGCATGGAGGGCTTAGTTTAAAAACTAAACTAATCCATCCATGGTTAGTGTAGGCCAAAATCCCTTGGTAGTCGGTCAAGAGGAAAGTGTATACAGTTGATACAGAGTGAACTACCGTAATTGACTATTACTGTAATTACAAGATAGTATAATACATACTTAAAGTATCGAAATGCACGACATCGTGTCGGGATTCAATATTTCGACATTAATTATGTCTTCAACTGTAATTAATTAACATACAATGTGGTCTTTGAAATTGTAAAAGGGCAGCGCTGAATTTCTGGTCGATTGTTTGAGTAGTGTAAAGTATAGCAATAATTAACTACTACAGTGCTACTGTACTGATTCTAAAGAATGTTTAGAAATGCTCGGACACACAGGTACAATTCTATGTATTTTTTTTTGTTGACTTCTATACAAACATTTTGTTCATATTCAATATTAATAAAGGCATAGATTATATAGCAAGCAGGTATATTATAAACACTAATTTTCAATATTTTATTCACATGACATATAGGTTGTGTCTATTTCCTTCATGGTCTACCCAATTGAATATTGAATAGCTTTATATTTTCTCATAAAAAAAATTTTAATTGTAAAATTGTAAGTTAACTGATTCTGAAGTATTAGTTATTTATTTCTGAGCATTTTTAAACATCCTTCAGAATCAGTACTACTAGAAAATTGCTACAACACACACGTCATACTGTATAAGCCTTACTGTAGGCATAGGCCAAGGCCTTTTCAAATACAGTGCCAGATTCAATATTAGCCTTTACTCTTTTTTTATTTTTATACGTATATAGAATGTGTCTAATGTAGAACTACAATTTTTACACTGTCTTGACTACCAAGGCTTATTTGACAAAATTTTGGGCTAGTGACTCCATAGCATTCATCCACGCATAAAACTCGATGCACCACTGACTCTGTTTCGCAAAGGTGGGACTCTATGCATATTCATGCATATCAGTTCTCCTAACTGACCTTATATAGCACCCTCTATAATTTTTCTGCCGCAACTGTATGGGAAAAAGAAATAATGCACCCTGGCAGCGCCCCCCCCCCCCACTTTCGCCACCTCTGTGCAATCATTGAATAAGCTGTGCATTATATCCAATATGATCCGATCAGGTAAGTGAGTGACTCTGCCCATAATGAGCTCCAGGATCCAGGAGAGTAACTGCAAGAGTCCTGCCTTGGGTTAATTTAGATAATTTAAAAAATACAAAATATATAATTTGAAATTTGAAAATAATAATAATAAATTAATAAGTATGCCTTATTATACTGAAAATACAAAAGAAATATATATAAAGCAATACTGCAGAGAAGTTGCTGGTCTCTCTTTGTAAAAAGCAGTGTATATGTCAACTGATAACTGTCAATGACGGTCTAATGCCCTCAAGACAGAGGACAACTAACAAAACAAGTGACAAGTAATACGTAAATTTATACAGCTTAGATCTATCCATAAAGGGAAGCCAAAACAATGAAGAGGGTTGAAAACAGTACCTTAAGGCGAAAGTAGTGTCACTAAGGGGAAACTTAAACGACGTTAAGGCGAAATTATAGACAACAGAGTTTAAGATGTAAAAACAATAAGACCTGTCTCTTATACTCATCT